AGGGAGGAAAGAGAGGTGAGGAGGGGAATGGAGGAAGTGAGTAATAAGGAGGGAGATGGAGGAGGGGAGGAGAAGGATGGTGTTAGGGGAGACGGGAGAAGAGAGAGAAAGGAAGAAGAAGAGAGAGGAGGAGAGACATGAGGAAGGGAGAGAGGACGAGAGGAAGGAGAAGGAGGAGGAGGAGGAGAAGGGAGAAGCGGAAGTGGGGTAGCGTTGGAGGAGAAATGAGAAAATAGAGGAGGAGGAGAGAGAGGAGAATGAGTAGGACGAAGAGGGAAGAGAGAGAGAGGGAAAAAAGAGGAGAGACAGATACCTAGACAGACTGATATAGGCAAACAGGCAGAGAGATGGGAGAGAGAGGGGGGGAGAGAGAGAGAGAGAGAGAGAGAGAGACAGACAGAGACAGAGACAGAGACAGACACACAGAGATACAGACAGACAGCAGACAGACAGACACAGAGAGAGAGATATGACAGGTGACACGGGGTGATCGACAGCCGAAGTTGAAACTGGCGTCAGTCCGTCGAGACTTGCCCCCCCCCTCCCCCCCGCTGCCTGTCTGTCCTTAAAGAACAAGGACCTCGGGCGACAGAAGACAAAGTGGCTCTTGATAAAGGGCCTGTTACTGAATTTTGAATTTTATCTTTTATTTTATTTTTTTCCGTTTTTTCTAGTTTTTTTTTATATAATTGTTACTATTATTGTTGTTGTTGTTTTTCTTTGTTTTCCTGTGTCGTATGTTTATTTTGTTTGTTTGTTTGTTTTCATTTTGGTTATGTCTATCTTTTTCTTTGTCTGCCACTCTGTTTATCTTTATCTGTCTGCATGTCTGTCTTTCTCTTTATCTTTCTCTTTTTCTCTCTCTCTTTCTCTTTCTCTTTCTCCCCCCTCTCCCTTTCTCTCTTTCTCTATCTCTTTCACTTCCTTTTTCTCTTTCTCTTTCTCTTTCTCCTTCTCCTTCTCCTTCTTCTCTTCCTCCTTCTTCTCTTTCTCCTTCCTCTCCTTCCCCTTTTCCTTCTCCTTCTCTCTCTCTCTCTTTCTCTCTGTTATTATTATTATTAGTATTTATATTATTATCATTATTATTATTATCATTACTATTATTATTATTATTATTATTATTATTATTATTATTATTATCGTTATTGTTGTTGTTCTTATCATAATTTTTTTTATTATTATCATTAGTAGTAGTAGTAGTATAATTATTATTATCAATTGCTGTTATTATTATTATTGTTGTAGTTATTTTTAGTATCATTATTACTATCATTATCACTGCAATGAGTATTATTATTTACATTTTTTCTATTACTGTTTATTACTATCACTACACATTATTATTATAATCATAGTCAATCAATTTTGTTATTGATATTTCTAAAATTTTATTAATCCATCAATCATCAATATTATTATTATTATTTCCCATACGTTATTAAAAATTTGAATAATAATAATAATGATGATAATTATAATAATAATAATGATAATAATAATAATAATAATAATGATAATGATAATAATAATATAATAGTAATAGTAATAGTAATAGTAATAGTAGTAGTAGTAGTAATGATAATAATAATAATAATAATAATAATAATAATAATAATAATAATAATAATGACAATAATAATAATAACAATAACCATAACAACACTAATGATAATAATAATAATAATAGTAATGATAATGTTGTTATTATTATTATTATCATTATTGTTATTATTTTATTATTATTATTATTGTTGTTATATATATTATAATCGTTGTCGTTGTAGTTTCATTATTATTGCCATTATCATAATTCGTATTACTATTGTCATTTCTATCTTTGTTAATATTATTATCGTCATTAGTAGTAGTAGAAGTAGTAGTTGTAGTGCATTATTATTATTACTATTAATATTATTATTATTATTATCATTATTGTTATCTTTATTATCATTATTATTATTATTATTATCATTATTATCATTATTATTATTATTATTATTATTATTATTATTATTATTATCATTATTGTTTTCATTATTATTACTACCATCATCATCATTATCATTCTTACTAATGTCAATATTATGGTTACTGTTAATATCGCCAGTGTTATTATTATTATTATTATTATTATTATTAACATCACCATTATTATTATTATTATTATTAGCATCATCATCGTAATTATTGTTATTAACATCCCCATTATTACTATTACCATTATTATTATTATTATTATTATTATTATTATTATTATTATTATTATTAATATGAATATTATTATTATTGCTATTGTTATTATTATTATCCTTACTACTAATATTATTATCATCATTATTTATGTCATTATCGTTGTCCCCATTCACATCGCCATTATTATCACTTCACCCTCATCAGCGTCCCCTTCAACGTCCCCCCCGCTGCCCCCAACTCGTTCCCCGGCCCTCCGTGCGAAGGCCGAGGTCCTGCACGCCTGACCGCATGTCCTTCCCTCCCGCAG